GCAAAATTTCTCATCTATTAGATGAGGGTGGGAACCTCCTCGGATATGATGCCATGAAATCAAATTTTCAGGAGTTAAATTGGTTAGAATATTGTAGTATAGCTCCAGCTGTCAAATCACTTATAAATAATGTGCAAAATGAACCGACGTACGAGGTTGTTTCCACCGAGGGAACATCTATAACTGAATTAACATCTAAAAGTAAAGTTAACAACTTTATTTATAAGTCGCTACTGAGAAAAAGAATCTCTACACCCATTAGAAGCCAAGAGAAGTGACTCAGTGACCTTCAAGTCGAAAATGTAAGTGATATTGATTGGAAAGATGCCTACACAATCGCTTTCCACTGTACGGCTTCTACAAAATTAAGAACTTTTCATTATAAGTTTTTGCATCGGAGGATTGCTACCAATGTTTTTTTAAAGAAAATTAATTTAAAGCAATCGGACAAATGCTCTTTTTCCCAAAAGGGGAATAGAGTCTATATCTCATCTATTTCTGAGATGTTCGGCAACAATTGCTTTTTGGAACGATGTTAAACAATTTTTAATTCAAAAGGGCCTCAAGAGTACTGCACTAACCGATTTACATCTGACGGGACTCTCTAAATTTGCACCCTCTACCGCCATTGATCTCGTTCTTCTTATTGGGAGATATCATATATACTCGAGCAAACTTGCAGGTACGTCTCCCTCCATGACTCTTTTTGAGGGCAAACTAAATTCCGTCATTGAGATGGAAAAACAAGAAGCACTCCGCTGTAATTCTTTCACCGTCTTTTCAAACAAATGGAAATTTTTTCTTATTTAAATTTGTTGCTTTTACTGGTTCCCCTCTAGCTAATCGCTTTGACTTAGTCATGTGTCCTGCAAAGTTGAGCCATCCATCGTCCACTGTCCTTTCCTTTTGTTGTAAGTAACTAAGCGAATTCAAGCATAAATGTAACCTCAGCTATTTTTATGTTTGTTTCGTCAAGTTGTAATATGTATACGTTTTGTGTGATGTAAATTTAGCTCAAGTAATAAATTAAATAAATAAATAATAATAATAATAATATATATGTATAATAATAATTATAATAAAAGTAAATTATAATTATCAGAAAAAATCTCCCAGAAAAAAAAAAAAAGAACAATTAAAGCGAACCTTCTTATCTTCTCCAAATGACTAATAAATCATGAGTACCTATAGCGGACTATCAAACCCAGACGCGACAAATGCAAAGTTAGCACACATTTCATGTATATATTCCAAATATTGTCCATGTTACCCTACTCTGACTTCAGAAATTACAGAAAGGAGCAAACTGCTACACTGTGTTTAAAACCCACCTTATATAAGCTTGGCTTTTAAGAAAAGCTCCATAAAATGACTCTTCATGAAGAATTTCATACACCTAAACAGGAATTAACAAAATGACTAAAAATCATTTCACATAATTACAATAACAATTGTGAGGATTGCAGATCTGGGATGGTTTGTCAAGTGTAGAGCGCACTACCATAAATGAATGTCAAAAACTCAAACATACATACATGTTTAACGAGTGTTGTAAAATTTGATAGAAGATGGCGGAATTTCTCTGCCTGAAACCCAAGGATTACGCCTTTGAAACAGTTTAAAAACTCGCAACGCCTCGTGTTTTAAACTTGATTTAACACTGTTCGTGTTTAAACACTACACGCACCATACCTACTCAATATTGTGCGCCACAAGCCTGGATGTAAGGCTATGGCATTGACTACGGTATTTAGTTCATTTTTCAAAAGTTTATGTTTGTTGAACAAGCTGTAAAACTGACATGTTCACGGGGATGAAAAATTCGCTAGTCACGGATATAACAACCGTTACCTGTGCCTGAACATCATCAAAGCAGCTTGGCGATGGTTCTTCTTGTGCAATGCGCTTAAAAACTTTCCTTGGTGCCTCCCTTGACAGAACAACTCTGGGATCAGCCTGGATAAAATGTAACAACGATTAAATCAAGCTTAAACGTTTTCTAACAGGCTTCATTGTTTGTGAGCAAGACCTGTCACACCTAGTTGTCTATGAAAGAACCTTAGCTTAGACCTTTTTTACACGGGTCCGCACAAACTTTTGAACGGACGGAAACGTGCACAGATCCGCTTTTCGTCTACACGGGACCCACAGAACCGTGCAAGTTTTTGAACGGCAAACAGTGCAGCACAGAAATCTGTATAACAATTTGCACGGTTTCGTGTCAACGGAATGCAGGGGTAAAAAATTCGTGCGTCCAAAAATTCACCTGCATCCGTGTAAATAGGGTCTCGTTAAAAATAAACCGTTATAACCAAATTAAGCGGTAAGATTGGAAATAAATCTTGATTTGAAGTAGAACAAAGAGGGCGTGAATCTTCTTTATTTTCCATGAAAACTTCCGCCTCCGGCTGGCTAGCTAAACGGTTGAGTACCAGATTCAGGCGCTTTCGGCACGAATACCATTCCCTGCCGGACCAACTTTCAGGGTCTTAAAATAGGGAGCTTAAGAAATTACGACGGCCACAGCAGCGAAGTGAATTCGGGCTGTTTCAAACTTCATAGCTCTTATTCCATCTCGTTCAATTTGTCAAATGTTTGCGATCCTAAAGGTCTGTCTCTATGTTTAGGAAAACAAAAAAGAAATAATTGTCTTGCGTTCACGTCCCCTATAAAACGTGAAATTAGGAAATTTCACGTCGCAGTTGTGCAAGGGCGGCAGAGAAATTTACATCTGAAAAAAGTGTGAGGCACGTACAAAGTTGCTGTTTAGCCAATCTACTCATCAAACACTTTTGCACTTTGCAGTTCTTGTTACCGTCATCGTCGTCGCCGTTGCTTAATCTCCCTCTATCTGAGGAAAACGTGCTGTCTTTCATTTTGTGCAATTTCTTTGCTATCAGGGTGTGATAACACTCAGTCCATTTCTCTCTCTAACTGAACTGTAATGGCATGACTATGCATGGCATTAGATGGCATTAGATAATAGAAGAAAAGCACTATAGTTACGTTACCGTCTCTGAAAGGTATTGGTCAAAGATACTTTGAGCCGCCAATCGCAAAACTTCCATATCAGCGGCAGCAGCATCGCGCTCCTCCTCCTGAACACAACACAACAGACAGTGGTTACAAACGATATCTCAGTATTTCCAACGTTCAGCCGTTGTTTTCTAACACTCCTTTATAAAGATGCGCACCAAAAGACGTAATGCATAATCAAATCTAAACAGCACTATATTCTTAGAAGGTAAAATAGGTAAAGGCCCAAACGGACGGAGCTTATCCCTGTTTCCTAAGTATGAAGCATGCCTAAGAGTATTACTACTCTCTCCTTGACAGGATGCCCCTAGTCTATCGCAGTGTTACTCTTATCTCTGTAAAAGAGGCTACTTAGGGGGAAAAAATTGAGATTTACAATTCATTTCTAACAAGTAACGTCCGTTTGTAAAGACGGTGGAGGTTGGCTATAAAAGCAACACAACAAAATAAGTGTTAAGGTGGCTCCGTAATTAATACTAGAGCATTTTGCTGTGACAAATTTTCCGTCATAACATTTTCGATTTTAACGCGATGGCTGCGAAATTTTGCAAAGAACAACAGATATCATTCGGCCGTAATACGAAATATTCCGATTTCATTGATGGTAAATATTTCTTGAGAAATTAGCGCTTAAAAGGACCCTACTGTTCAAAGAAAATCGCGTCTAGTAAAAAATTTTGTTGATATTTTTTACCGAAATTTCTGGTATCGGCTTCAATTGGTATAATAAATATGCCAGAGGGATTTCAGAAAAATCGTTGGAGCAGAAGTCCGTAACTAAAAGTCGCTCAAAATTCAGCTGTGAAATTGTTTTGGAATTTCAAAAATAAATTACTATCAGGTAGAAGGAGCCACCAGTTTGAATTTTCGGGACAAGTAAATTCAACGTTTGCTAATTCTTAAAACAAAAGCCGATTGCCTATCGTGCTATTCTTTAAAAGGTACTTTTTAGTTTTATAAGCTCTAGAAATTGCTCCAAGCCTTGCTCTGAAGTAGAATTACTTGTTCTTCGACAGTTTTAAAATATCCCTTGGCAGTTTTGGCTCAAACTCCTGCTGTATACATCTTGATGTATTGCAATGCATTTTCAAGGACTTTTACTGCTGTTCGTTGCTTCCAACTCAGGAAAAAAGTATTGAGATTGGACGCTACCTCGTATCAGAGCTCAGATAGAGGTGTCCAGCACCTTTGTTTATGACTACAAAATGAGCACGAGCGGCAGTTCTGCGAGGAATTCGCACCTCACCAAGGGGGGACGAACGACAATGATGACCGTGCCTGTGAACCGAATAATATCACAGTGCAAAATAAAATTATCGTAAAAATATTGCCCGTGAATAAATTTACAACTCTGAAATTTTTGTCACTCCTTCCTTCAATGAATGGGTATTTTTTTTCTTGATTATTAGTGTTTTGCTCTGCAATACATGTTTATACAGATCGGTTCACAGACATGGGCATCATTGTCATTCGTCCCCCCTGGCTGAGGTGCGAATTCCTCGCAGAGCTGCCGCTCGTGCTCATTTTCTGGTCGTGAACAAAGGTGCTCGACAGTTCTGTCTGAGCTTCGATACAAGGTAGCTTACAATCCCAATACCTTTTTCCTGAATTGGAAACAACGTACGGCAGGAAAAGCCGTTGAGGATGCATTGCAATACATCAAAATGTATGTAGCAGGAGTTTGAGCCAAAACTGCCAAGGGATATTTTAAAAATGTCGAGGAACAAGTCATTCGACGTCAGAGCAAAGTTTAGAGCAATTTATAGTGCTTCTAAAACTGAAAAAATATCTTCTAAAGAATAGCACGTTAGGCAATCGGCTTCTGTTTTAAGAATTAGCAAACACTGAATTTACTTGTTCCGAAAATCATGAAACTGGTGTCTCCTTCTTCCTGATAGTAATTTATTTTTGAAATTCCAAAACAATTTCACAGCTGAATTTTGAGCGACTTTTAGTTACGGACTTCTGCTCCAACGACTTTTCTGAAATTCCTCTGGCATATTTATTATATCAATTGAAGCCGATACCAGAAATTTCAGTAAAAAATATCAGCAAAATTTTTTACTAGACGCGATTTTCTTTGAACATTAGGGTCCTTTTAAACGCTAATTTCTCAAGAAATGTTTACCATCAATGAAATCGGAATATTTCGTATTATTGCCGAATGATATCTGTTGTTCTTTGCAAAGTTTCGCAGCCATCGCGTTAAAATCGAAAAAGTTATGACGGAAAATTTGTCGCAGCTAAATGCTCTTGTGTTAATTACGGAGCCACCTTAAATTGATGGCGCCTTACATTGTCAGCGGTATCACCCTCCACCAGCAGTCGACGTTCCATAGCAAGGGACAGCTGTTGTTCAGCTGTTACGCGATAACTCTAACACAAAAAAGAACCAGTCAATGAGGTCCGTTATAAGAAGTCTAGTGATGAAATATTCTTTTGAATAATCTGCGAGTTTTTCTCTGCAGAGGCATCTGTATGGTTTGGAGGGGGAGGGGGGCGGAGGTCCAACCTTGCACTCGCTGTTGAAACAGTTGATTCCACCCCAGTCACGTCATTCACGTTATTTTTCTAGCAAACTCCGACTACCAGTGTGGCCACCGGTGTGCCTTACTTTGTAACAACGATGTCAGTGTTAAAGCACAAATCCAACTATAATCTGAAAATTTTCTGGTCTGGTGAGTGGATCCGCCTTTGCTCCCGTACCACTATGTACAGCGTATGCTTACAATTGCCACTAGTACAGAAGACAACTTATAGATTTCAATCATTTACCTACTCCTCAAAAAGGGAATAAAACTCTATCACAGATGAAGTGTGAACTGCTGCCACTGCAAATAGTATTAGTTGTCAACAGTCACTCTCTAGCTGTTCGCGAATTCATTGCGGGTACCCAAGATAAACTGACGATCAATTTGAACTAGAAACAACTTTCCAATTGACTGCATGACAAGCACTCGAAAGGGAGTGGGGAAGGGGAAGAATGGGAACTCACGGGCACCCCAATCCCACCCCTCCCTCCTTCTGAATGCCAGCCATGCGGACTATCTTTCTCATATTTCATTGTGTACTAATATGCGACATTATACAATGTACATTAAACATACCTCAACAGCCAGCCAGAAATAAAGATATGCTTGTCCATCAACACTGTTCATAAACTCTGCAATGAAAGATCAACATAGTTTACACGTAATTATAGTCTTGTCATGGTGCAAGAAAGTTATAATGCATCTCTGTATGTAAGCTCATCGGGTGAGAACAAAAGTTGGACCCGAGGTCCATGGATCCCCCATTTTGGGCCACGTTCATGGACCACTTTATTGACCAGTTCCACGGACCCCCTGTAATGGAACCGGTCTATGGACACTTTTTTTAAAGCAGGAATTTGTGATTGCAAGCAGCTAAGAAATTTTATGATTTAACAGTTGTTGCAATTTCTTATTTATTTGAAAGCCATACACTTTACCCGGCAGTCAAAGTAACTGGCATGGCCAAGACCTTGTCACATTCAGTTTGTCATTAAAACTATACTGTACATTGTTGGATGCTGTTTACTTGCGTTATGTTCATTGTTCATTTCTCCTTCCTCAATTTCTTTTTTTCTGGCGGGGTGGGTGTGTGTGTGTGTGTGTGGGGGGGGGACACCAAAAAAAGTGTCCATGGACTGGGTCCAAAATGGGGGTACATGGACCTAGGGTCCATGTTTGCTTCCTCACCCAAGCTCTTCTAATTCGGAGGTCGCAGTTCAAATCAACCTCGTTCCCAGGTTCTCTCTCCTAACAATCACAAAGAACGTCAAAACAATTTTTTTCTTTACCTTGTGTATAGTACCCTGATACCCATTACTAGGACTACGAATCAGTTGGGTTTATGGGTTACTTGCAGCTTATTTTCAATTTTAATTCTCTGTTCCATGACTTGCTTCACATTGCTGTGTAGCACAACATGACATACTGTACCTATAAAGTATGACAAAGCTGTGTTGTTATCCAGAATCACTTGCAGTGGTAACACAGGAAGAGGCTGGTTTGGGGGCAGAAGTTTTCCAAGTTCCTCAGGGTTTTCCTGTTATTACAAACATGTAACAGAAAGGAGCATGTGATGATGTTATGCCCAGTCATTTATTACCATACTACCAGGCTGTCTATTATTTTGTTACATTGAAGAAAAATTATATTAGTTTGCGATACCAGGTATTGCCTTTCACCATGAAATGTATGATTCAGCTCTTAGAACTACCTCCAGCCTGCCTACCTACCTACCTAACCAACCAGTTAATAATTCCCTTGCAGGATGTTTGATAAACAGTGTGGTAGGCAAGTTAATAATAATAATAATAATAAAAGTAGGTTTTTATGGCGTATTTAAAGAATTCTCAATGCGCCTACAATAGTAAATTAAATCTAAATGAACCATGTACAATAATTATTTCTATAAAGATAAGTTTTCAAACGTTGCTTAAAAGTGGAAGCAGATTCAGAGTATTTGATATAATCAGGTAAACTGTTCCAGACTTTCAGTGCATAATATAAAAATGAGCAGTGTCCATAAGTCATGGTATAAACAGAAGGAACTTGTAAGAGTAATCTATTAGACGAACGGAGCAAGTGAGCCCATTGATATTTGACGAGGAGTGAAGACAAAATAGTAAGGAGCTCAATCATTTAAAATGCTAAATGTTAAAAGCAGTATTTTAAACTCAATGCATGCACCGTCTGTCATGACTGGAGCTACATCATCAGATCTTCTTATTCCTGAAACCAAGCGCGTGGCACAGTTCTAAACACATTGCACCTTGTCTATTTCTCGCTTGGGTACGCCACAGTATAAACTGTTACAATAATCCAAGCATGACATAACAAAAGCATCGACCATCATCTTAAGGTGATCCTTGCTCAAATACTTCCTCAATCTGCCAATGAATCGAATTGCCAGCATAGCCTTTTTGCATGTTTCATTAATATGATGAGATTGAGCTCTCAGTCTAAAGTGACACCAAGACTACAAACTCGGTCTGCTAGTTGTACTCTAGCATTGCTAGTGGAAAAATCACTAAGAATTGGGTTCTTGACGAAACAAGAACTAAACTGAATGACCTCTGCTTTACTAGGATTGCACACTAACTTACGGATGGTGTTCCATTCTATAACTTCACTAATACACTTCTGACGGGTGTTGAGGACAGGACGTTGATCAAGAGGATCAATAGTAATGTATGGTTGAGGATCATCTGCATAGAACATACAGGACTGTCTAGGTTACGTACAGAGATTATATCTTGAATAGGTGCTGTGTATAGAGTAAAATTAGAGAGGACCAAGTGTTGAACCTTGTGGAACTCCAAATTCTAATCTTTGACTGCTAGATGTTGTGTTACCAATAATAACAGATTGCATCCGACCATTAAGATAAGACAAGAACCATCTTAGTACTGTGTGGGAAAAAGTGAGGTAACTACTCAGTCTATTCAAAAGTTAGGCCAGTCAAAGGTCCTGTGTCATGAGGATAATACTGCTTTTGGGTCAATTCTTTGCTTAAGTCATTACTCAGTGCCTTTGCCAATACATAAAATGCTCCTGTAAAGTTATGAATAAGATATCAAACAAATTTGACCAGGGACTACCACTAACCATGACATTTTTTTTGTGATTTTTGCAGGCACACCATTAAACCTTGAAAAATATTGGCCCAACTTTTCAAGTTTCAATCCATGTTCATTCTTGTCATCCGTGCAACAGACAAGAGGAAACAGTTTCAATGCCTTAGTATAGTCTCGAGTGACTAAACTGCGCCATTATTTTTTATGCAAAGACCAAGTTTTAGCCTCTTAAAAAAATAGGAAATAGAGAGACATATCCCCTTTGCCTGACTACATTTACTATGAAAACTGTGAGCGGCAAAACAGAAGTGAATTGCAAGAGTGCACTCTCATTAAACACAAGTAACATAGTATGAAATCATTCTTACAGAAGGTAATGATGGTAGTTCTCCATCACCAAACTTTAGAGTCCTAATTTTGGCTTCACAAATTTTCTTTACAAACAGGAGACTGCTTAACTGTTGCCTCACTGCAACATCAGCTGCACCTGATCATATAAACAGAAAAAAGGTATAAACAACTTAGTACGTGTACAATAATATCCAAATAAACAAATTAATTAATAAAACTAACTGCCGTGAATTTAACTCTGTCCCTTCTGCATTGAGAAAAAGCTCCTTTCTATGTCGCTGTAAACAATAGTGTTGACAGGTTGCTGGTCATATTTTTTTGGGAGGTGAAAGGAAAGGTTGGCATGTTATCAAAAAATGAAATTTAACTAACAACCAAGCAGCTATGGTGGCAAACTCGTGCCTAAATTGCCCATAATGTTACCTGAAGTTTCGGAGTCATGTGCTCTTAATTTAGCAATCTCTATCTCAACTTTGTCCTTCACACCGTCCACATCTTCCACGACACCGAGCCCTTCCCTGTAAATCAAGCAACAAAAAAGATACAGTATGTTGCCCAGTATCCGGACACTTCAGTTTAACATTGCAATAACTTTCCTTTGTTGATCGCAAGAGCTCTGAAATTTGGCCCAGAGAAAATCTATTTAGTCCTTAATATAACAAAAGACAGTTGAACTTTTTTGCCTCTGGTTCCATCGCGAAATTAATATTTTTGCAGAGCTCCTATGTTGCCCAGTATCCGGACACAACAATAATAACGTAATTGTACATAAATTTCGACAGGCAAGTGACTTATAAGCTTCTCTTGCACTTGCTAAGTAGTCTCGCAATCGATTCCAAAAAAATAACCTAGCACCTAGGTCTGACCTGCAGTGTTGATTTCTTCACGCTCAGTCCCTACAGACCCTACAATAAGCCTGCTTTTCTACAATCTTGGACAAAAATGTTAAGAAAAATGCACGTTGTATGTTTAATTTTAGAATACTTCCCTCTAAAGCCCCGTTCACTCAAGATACTCCCCCCTCCCCCCAAAAAAACAATGTTGAAGTGTGGCCCGAACATTTTTACTACCTACTAAACAACATTGGCCAGGGAGGGGTGGGGGGAGGGGTCACCATGGTGCCAAATACGCAGGGTGGGTCTCCCGCATGTAAGAAAGAGCAAAATTCTTAACACTTTTTGTCCAAGATTGTAGCACTAATTCCTCCTTCCTTCACATCTCTCAAGCCCTGTGTGACATTTTTCAGACCGTTGCAACCCCATTCTAGCAGTCACAACTGGGGAAAGTATGAGAATTCCAGGTTCAACTCCGACGCTTTCAGTTATACAGTTGACTCCCGATAACTCGCACCCTCGCTAACTCGAACCTCGCGCTAACTCGAACCAAAATCGATTTCCCCCGGATTTCCGTCATACATTTACTGTAATTCTACCCTCGGTAACTCGAACCCTCGATAACTCGAAACTCCCGCTAACTCGAAGTAATTTTTGTTTCCCCTCAGATCATTTCTATATAATTTTACCGTCGATAACTCGAACCATGTTTTGAGCCCTTAAAAAGTCGGGAAAAAAGAGTGTACTGCCTCCGAAACATTGAATTTTGAATTTCCCATTGACGTGTTGTAGGCATATACAGTCGACTCCCGATAACTGGAACCCTCACTAACTCGAACCTCGCGCTAACTCGAACCAAAATCGATTTCCCCTGGATTTCCGTCATACTTCGTTTACCGATAACTGAAAAGGGCGCCTCAAAAATTGAGTTTTTGTTTTAAGTGTCCGGATACTGGTACCGTCCGGATACTGGGCAACATACTGTATTGGACTGTGAACTACATGTAAGGACACGACTTGTAATCAGTGTTTTACTACAAAAATAATTTTGTACTTTACACCACTAGAGGAATACCTTCCACGCTAATAATAAAATAAATCCTTTCATTGAAAAACAAGCCTCTCAAATGTAAAGGGAATTATATCAATTGGACTGATTTGCAGGGAAGCCAAAACCACAAATATCTGATTTAATTAACTCAGTAATTACCTAATTATGGTCATAAAGGCTTCCCTTGTAAATGTGGCATCTTTACACTGAAATATAACATTCATGAAGTAAGTTCTGGCCCCCCCTTTATAGAAAAGAGAAAGCAAAGAGTTACTTCACAACTGAGGAAGGGTTAAAACCTTAAGTTAGTTTATTTTGTTTTGTACAAAGTCAACAGCTATCTCTTAGAAAATGTATATTCTGAAACTTTGCCACACATTATGATTAATCAGCACTGTTTCTATGAAAATCTTAAAAATGTTGGAAGAAATGAGTACAAAGATGCGTCAAAAACAGTAGTGCAACATTTTATATCTTCAGAATCATTTTTGCCAACACATGGCTTTCTCACTATAGCATAGTAAACTGGAAAGCTACAAACATTGAAGTCTCTTTGTGATGGCAAATGTACTAAATAAAATAATGATCAACCCAATTGACAAAACATTATCATGATATTGAAGTCGAATATGATTATAAACCAGGGAGTGTAGTCATGAATACAACTGTTGTTGACAGTGATGGTACTTAATTATCCTCAGATCAAAATGAAATGTATCACATCAGTTGATGGTATTAAACTCTAGTTATATTGACCTGATTGGTCAAAGTCACATTGTTACTGGACATATGTCAGTTAAGCCATGATGTTATATAGGCGATCAAGACTCTGTATGTGATTGGTTACTCACAAGCCAAGCAATTGTCTGATTCACATAATCTGGATCACAGATCATGGACACGGTAGGAAACAACACACATATGGCTATAATTTCCTGCAATAACAAAATGCTTTCAGTGAGTTAGCAGTTCTGGGCCCAGTTCCTGATCGAGAGGCTAATTAGCACTAACCCAGGACACAGGTAACCCAGGCTCTGTGATAGTACCACAGTACGGTTCCAGTAAAATTACAGTGTTTGTATGGGGTAAAAATATCATCCTAAAATTTCTTGGAAATACTAAATAAAGATCAATGAAACTTACTCTGCAGTTAATTGTTGTTGTCCTTATTGCTCCAACGAAGTTTCGTGATAATTTGCAGTAATTTGTTCAAATTCACTCTATCTACAATAATAATATACAAGGTAGGAAACACGAGGTGCCATTTTCGACGACATGCTCTCATTCAACTCAACTTTTTCCACGAAATTCGAACTCCAACGGAAAATAAACATGCCAGGATCGTAGAAATAGGATAGCAACAGATATGGAAACCAATGAAGCTTTCCCAGATACAGAAACGAATCCCACAGACTTGGACAAACTCGAAGAATATAATCCAAACACACCGAGAATACCTTTCGCCGAAGCAGCCGGGCCAGATCAGCGCCAAGAAAATGAGGCCTGGGCACTGTACAAAAAATTCCATCCCGGGAGTCCTGGGGTGACCTTTCTAGGGACCGATACATCATTTGCCCAAGGCCACCCTCCCCTGCTGGAAAAATACTTGATAGAAGGCAATTGTTCTTCCTAGCCAATCACCATTTGCCAGAGCAAACCCCTGCACACGCCTGAATTTAAATGGCTAAAAAGAAAAGTAATATAATCAGGAGAGTCTCATGGAGTTACAAGGCGTCCCATTTCTTTTACTAAGGAATGCAAATAACAGTAATGAAACTAATGAAATAACAACGCGAAATGCTTACAAGGTGGGCTAAAAACAAGGTTGAACAAAAGGTAGATGATGACTGAGATACTGTTGCTGTGAACTCGAAATAAAAATATGGTAAATAAACGGTGAAGCTTACAAACTAATGTCAAAAATTATACAGAAAATTGCGACAGAATATGAATTGCGATAACTGAGACGAATGTGAAAGGCACGTGCACTAGTAAACAAAGAACTAGCGCGATTAACATATTTAGCGATTAATGCGGCAGTGACACGCCGACTTCTTGTCAATACAAGTGAACGCTCTATCGGTTAAATATGTGAATCATCGTGATACACCTCTCTTTGAATTTGGTCCTGTTGTACAAATGCCTCGGTAAGAGCCAAAATTCACCTATATCTTTTGCTCGTTTTAAGTTTTGTAAATCGTCCTTCGTTGTTCTTTCCTTTGCCCTTATAACCTTGCCCTATTGATGTTTGATAAACTTTCTGAGGACCAGCGCCAGGAGCTGAATATAGTTCGAGAGGAAAATAATCTCTTTATAACAGGCCATAGTGATTGGCTAGGAAGAACAATTGCCTTCTATCAAGTATTTTTCCAGCAGGGGAGGGTGGCCTTGGGCAAATGATTTATCGGTCCCTAGAAAGGTCACCCCAGGACCCCCGGGATGGAATTTTTTTGTACAGTGCCCAGGCTTCATTTTCTTGGCAGCGTTGATCTGGCCCGGCTGCTTCGGGCGAGCGTATTCTCGGTGTGTTTGGATTATATTCTTGAGTTTGTCTAAGTCTGTGGGATTCGTTTCTCTATCTGGGAAAGCTTCATTGGTTTCTATATCTGCTGCTATCCTATTTCTACGATCCTGGCATGTTTATTTTCCGTTGGAGTTAATTTCGTGGAAAAGTTGTGTTGAATGAGAGCATGTCGGAAAATGGCACCTCGTGTTTCCTACCTTGTATATTATTATTGTAGATAGAGTGAATTTGAACAAATTACTGCAAATTATCACGAAACTTCGTTGGAGCAATAAGGACAACAACAATTAACTGCAGAGTAAGTTTCATTGATCTTTATTTAGTATTTCCTAGAAATTTTAGGATGATATTTTTACCCCATACAAACACTGTAATTTTACTGGAACCGTACTGTGGTACTATCACAGAGCCTGGGTTACCTGTGCCCAGGATTAAAATTTTGTTGCACTTTTTGTATTTACCTTCCTAAGCATTGCCAAGAGTAACATTTTGTTATCATTTCTATTTTTCGAAGTAAAGGTACAACAGTACCAACAAACAGTAGCAACAAACCGAAATGATCACATCCACTACTTCTGCAGACTTAAATTACGTGACAACCTTGATCGCCAAACTTCAGAGCATGCTATACCAAATGAAGGGTATGTTCACACTATATACTGGATAGCCATTGCACCAGCACAAAAACTATACTGGAGTAGAGCTTCTGTTCACACATAAGAATGGTGAATTTGGCAGGATTTCTGTAATAGTTCAAAGCTGTGTGAATAGGTTCTGAGCCAGACTTTAGTGCAGTGTAAACAGGTATTCAGACCATAGTTGAAGTGAATGCGAGGAAGCAAGGCCAGGAAGCCACTGTAGTGTGACAAAAGTTAATATTCAGGAACGAGGATTGCGATTTAGTGCATCAAACCCTCTCAGTCAACTGCTCCGGCACAATGCACATGTGTGCAAACGAATTGCTTTAGTCCTAGGCCATTGCTGTTCATACTACATGTATATTGCATATGTGCATCTTTAATTCAACATCAAAAGTCGTCTGGTATAATGTAAATTTAGCTAGCTTAAGACTGCAGAACCAGACTGGCGTCACTTTTTAGCCAGATTTAAACAGAATTCATTGGCTAAATTTCAGGCACGGATCCACACTGGTTTCCACCGTTTTACAAAAATCAGTCAGAGTTTTCAAAAATAAATAAATTTTTCTTGAAAAAAAACTTTCCAAGTTTAAATCTGGCCAATATCCTCACTGAATGACTCACAAACCCAGGAAAGGTGACCTTCGGTCGTAAAAATCCCCAAAATTTCATGGGAGTGCTTGCCCCGCATCGTGCTAGAAGCTTACGCCTTCGGGTTTATTTAGTAAAAGGGTCAGTATTTATCCTAGATCCATGCCTGAAATTTGGTAAATAAGTTGAGCGGTGCAGTGTTTAAAGTGGTTCAGCTCCTGAATGCACCACATTAATTCAGGAAGTCAAGCTTGAATAAAGACTCTGAACTGAAATTGAAAAAGATAGATGATAGAACCACTCACCCTGAAAAAATATCTGAATGGTTTGTTGTGAAAGTCTTCAGGTGGGAGGAGAAGGTATAATAACATTTCACTGATGTCTGATAAGTAATCTATAATGATAAAATCAAACAAATATGATAATGTTTATTTACTGACTACTGAGACTCCACTGGTAAAGTGCATTGATAACATAGTGATTATCTGATATTTTTACATGGCTACAATAGCACACATGCTCTGATTGGCTGTTTTCTTGTAATGACGGGGCATTATTCTCTTTAAAAATCCACTGATTAATTATTGCGTGATTTAATTGGCTATTTTGGGTCACACGGTAGCAAATCGGGTGGGTATCAGGCAATACACCCCATCCACGTCAATGTTTGCCCTATGATTTTTCAGCGGCAAGAAAGCATGACAAAGTTGACAACGTGAGTCTTTTCTCAGTTTTCATTTTCCAGTTACACTAAAATTTTAAGCTAGTTGCAACTGACAGTCCTGGAAAATACACAGAAATCAATAAAATGTTGCTATGAATTGAAGATGAGCAAAATTTACTAATTTAGCTTAATATTAATGCATTCCTACAAAAAATTGAGTGCAGTTTTTTACGCAGTCATAGCTGTCAGCTATGGAATAGAATACAAGCCATTTTTGAGTTGCAGCATGGAGAAACAAGAGAAAAAGCATAACAGTCCATGAATTAAGCAATAAATTGTTTGAGCCATACCAAGTAAAGAGCAACAGTTCAAGTCATCTTTGATCATCACGTGTGACTCAAGTAAATTCCGGTGAGTTCAACCTGTTCTTACAGTTGGGTCTCATTTATAGTTCTTCTACCTTTTATTTCTATGACTTCCACAGCTTCCACCAACCACAGCAACAAAGCCAGGTTTTGCCAACAGTCCACTAATGTAATCCTTCAATTGCTCCAGATTTTTCAAATTAAGCTTATGTGTTGTACAGTTGTAATTACTTTTCAGGCTCTCGCAGTGGCAGGTAGTGATACATGTATGATTGGATTCTCTTTACTTATACATTCAAACATTTTTTTGAGTAGCTTTCGAACAGTGCTGTTGGTAAAATTATTATAAACTAAAAGCACTGCTTTTTCGAGTTTTGATCTATGGGGAGTTGCGAGACTTCATTCGACATGACAGCCTGTCAAGCACTGGTCCAATCACAGTTTCAGTAAAAAAAATTCAACCAAGCAATGAGCTTGTTTGCATCATTTGCATGCGCGTTATACTAGCTACTGGATTTTCTTTCTCTCCCAACATGTTAGAGATGTAAAAAATTCATCCGAGGATAATAAAATAAATAAACCCCTTTGACCTTTGCTCATTCCATTGGAAAATGGTAACAAAGGCTCTGGGGATGAGGCTGGCAGGAAAGGGGAGGAAAACATGAAAGCAACCAGAAATTTGTTTTTGTGATGTAGATGTATTTTTCAATTTGGGGTGATATTTATGTGCATGCCAAACTAATTATTAAAATAATTTAAAAATTTAATTTCTTCTTATTATTATTATTAAAATAATTTTTTATTAATTACTCATAGTTGAAGAATTCTTAAATATTATAATAGAACAGTTTGGTTAAATATAATAATTATGTACTATTAACAGATCTGGGAGAATCCAAAACCAGAGCCACAAAATCCTGTAAATCCTGTAGATTTTAGACTCATTACATACATGTACAAGCAGCTTTCTTTACATTGCCACGTCAATCACGATGTATAGTAAAGATTAGCAATTCAAAATGACTGTACAAGAAGACTGAACAATTTTGAAACATTGCGACAGGATTGATCCATTGTACATCTGTACATGTAATTATTCCAAAGACTGAAACATTTGTGAGTCATGATGGCACCGACTCTCCTACACATCCGTCAAGTATGGACACTTGAAAGGCTAGAACGGCCGAGTTTGTTGTGAACTGAAGTAAGTAATGACTTTTTTTCAGTCACTTGTAGGTATGAAATCTCAATAAAAGTGGTACAATGTATTAAACAAAACAGCACCTTTCTCTTTTCCCTCTGACAAACAGATTTGTTCCCTGCATATATCCTTCTCCATCTCATGTTCTACTTGAAAGAAAGCCGTTTCTATATCCAGTGAGGTACTATCATCACCTAGTAAGAATTAAACATCATTATTCCATGAAGCAAACATTCTGTTATAAAATCACCAAGGTAAACCTTTGAGAAGTTTTATTATGGCACTGACAACCAAGACGATTTTAATTAACTTCTCGATTGCATGAGGTCTTGTTGCATACACTTGAGGCCTTGGAAAGTCTAACAATCTTTAATGAAATAACTGTGTGTCAAGCACAGGAATCAACACAGAGGCTCCCAGATGGAGAATTTGTCAAGGTTTTGGGTACACGAAGGTGTTGCGTAGGCCTTGAAATTTTGGCCCCATTTTACAGGGCCTTCCTCTTAATACCCATTTTACAAAAAGGCTAATTCTTATTATTATTTTGCAACCTCGGATAATGCTTTTTTAGCATTCTGATAGGTTCACTCAATCTTGTTTATCAGCTCCTATATCTTAGTTTGACCTTATATGGAAAACAACAAAATTTCTCCCGGACAAATGCAAAGCAGCAGAAAAACTTAGATTTCGCGAGCTTTCTACCAACAAAACAACAGAAAAAAACAGAAGATGCCATAATGGCAGCGACAAAAAAGCCCCAAACCTTGGTTTGAAATTATTTAATAGTACTCTGAAGTTTCCTTACAAATTTAAAGAAATTATGAGCTTAATTCTTCCTTACGTCGAGCTGATTATGTAACAACAACAATTCTAAAGGGGGGCGGTGGTTTGTATGTAAAATGAAATTTACTAAAATTCAGTTGTAATAACCAGACATTTGGAGTTTAAAAAAATTGAAGAAAACAATTATTCCATTCGCGCTTGTTGCATATGAGATAGTTATAGCCAACTCGGCGCTATGCGCCTCGTTGTTCATTTACTACCTCATATCTAACACAGGCTCACGGAATAATATTGTTAAATATCTGTTCCAGATTATTTTAAAAGTTAATGAAAAGTGGGGGGCTTATGTCTCAACGGCCACTCTCCCCGTCCCAGTCAAGTCCCTGATAAAGTTAGAAGTGAACGCAGAAATGATAAGCTTCCAACCTTTGTACAGGTTTTGGCTCAATAAATTTATGTATTATGTAAGTCATACATTCCTGGGAAACTGCACAGAGAAAACATTCAATTATCAGCTTGAACCACAGCTTTATTCACTGTGCATACAAGTGCATGCCTGTAATCGCTGCCTAAAGTCCAGTTTTAACCAACTGAAAGAAGATTCCCACCTTCACTTTTCTCCACCCTCTGTTTTGCTGTACGGTAGATTTTAAGATGATTTGTTATGTCATCCACGAAGCGTGTTGTCAGAAAATTGACCCATTCAACATCTTTGGATCTGAAAATACAGAGTTTCTGCAAACTTTTTTATCCTGTTGGAATATTAATGAGTCAAACCTCCTGACTGCAACAAACAGCACCAACATTGCAAAATTATTAAAGAAGCATGGATGAATTTCAAAAGCATGTATTTTCATACAGTGTATATATGACAGGTAGGAAAAGAGTGATCATGGCTGTCATTAAGGGCCAGGGGCTGCGGATTTCCCTGGCCTATCATGAACATGAACCCTGGCTTCTTTCATATGTAGGTCATAGAAGGCAAGTATGAACCAAATGAAGCTCCTAGCTGTTGAAATTCCCACCTACTATACTAAAATCATAAAACAGGAAATGTGTAGTTCCAGAAAATATCCATACTCCCCTCACAGAAGGGATTGGAAATTCCTAGGGGGTGGGGGTATAAAAATTTAAGTAATGTATGAAGCATGACTGGAATTTCCAGAGAGGTAGGGGGTCTAAGGAAAAATCCCTTCCGTTTGGGAGGTATGGATAATTTTTGGAACCACAAAATGAAAAACTGTTTCCTTAAATGAATCTGTAGTTTACCTGTTTGCAAAAGCTATGAATGCCCTCTGCAGTGTCTGTCTGAGATCGTACAAGAATCCTTCATCAGTACTTATTGTGTAATACCATTCATGGACATAGTCACGGAAGAACAACTGCAACACCTGACATGTTAAAGGAACAGGTCAGACACATTTTGTTTGAAGAGAATTAATTGTGAACAACTTCTGAGACAAGCAGTAACCTGTTGTCATAACTACCTTCGTGGTTCAATAGAGTTGAAAAAATAGGTGTTTAATGCATTTAAATGCAATTTAAAGGAGTTAAAGAGTGCCTTAAGTGCCTGAGGTCAGCAGTCTTTGGCATGAGCATGCCCAGTAGCTGGCTTCATCAATCGTGTGATTCATTGGCGTGTTTCAGTTTTTCCTTCATGCTAGGTTCTGTCAGCCATTTTCTTCCCCTCCCGCCTCCCCCAAGGCTTGTTAGTTTTTCTCTAAACTGATGTTTTTCAGTGTGACGTTGGCCTGTTCCTTTCCTTTTGTGTGGGGGCTCATGGCTGGGTTGCGCTGTTGTGCCAGTCAAGGGGGCATTATTTCAATCTAGGAGCTGGCTGCCAATAGTGGAAGCCCCTGGAGACTCTAGGCATCCAACCTCCACTTTAGCGATGCAGTTGTTAAATGGAAAAAAAGACTCCAATTCTTGACACAGTCCTATAGCATACTGTTTAATACAGTCAAACCTCCACTAATGGCCACCTCTCTACAACGGTCACCTCTCTACAACGGTCACCTCTCTATAACGGCCAGTTTTTTTGGCGGACAGTCCATACATTGACTCTTGTTTAACCCTCTCTACAATGGCCACTTTCTACTGTCCCCAAGGTCGCCATTGAGGAGAGAAATAAGAAAATGCACATATTTCTGAAAATTACCAGGAAGTCACTTTTAAAGGCTTTGTTACACACACCCCTTGATTTATGTTTGTAACTTGAAGGCACATAAGCAAGTCAAAAGGGCATCACAAGACACATGTATACATGTAGGGTGTCTTTCTTAAACTTTCCTCACCTCCTGCAAAGGTTCATCAATAATGCTGGAACCAGTTAGTCTCTTGTCCATTTTAAATGATTTCCTACTTAGCTGAATTTCCTGGATCACTTTGTCAAGACCTTTTGATACTGGACCAAAATCACCCTGTACTGCATTTTTGGCCATCTCTTGTGACATCAAGTACCCCCAATAACCAAGAACTAGAAGAAATCTATGTAAGAAAGGTCACATCAATCAACTAAAATTACAAATACCACTTCCCCTGGAATAATTGCTTTAGCTCTAATAAATACCCTCCCCGCCCATAATAAAAACAGCACCAAACCCTTTGGCAAAACTCACAGATGAGTGCACCAACCCCCCTTCCCCCCTCACTTGCTTAAAGTTGCAAGGATACCACAAGTAACCAATTAATTGGCTGCGAAAGGTGTCAATTTAGCAATCTGTCTTCGGGGGTCATATGTCATGTAATGATCTTTCTAAAGCTTAAGTGAGATAAACATTTGTATTTTATACCCTGTTTTCTTTATAATGTACTTGTTTTACCCTGGTTGTCCAGGTACTAAGATTTGAGATATTGCATGCACTTCCACATCACACCTGTATTTTCATTTGGATTAAAAGGGTACATTCTTAGTTTCTAATAATATTATTTCAAACCATTCATTTAATATTGCACAGAGTGCCCTTTCTTCTGGCAATCACTTTATACTTTTAAGTCACCAAAAATTGAAAAGCTTGGGGTACTGGAAAAGAAAGCCCAACATATTTTACAATGATGTAACAACCAATACCAAACACTATAACTGTGTGGATTATTTATCATTTGATTTCTTGATACAGTTGTACAGTATAAGTACATTTTCATGTTCAGGATGTGGACTCTGATGTACTTGATTTACTAAAACTCATTGCAACTAATAACATGCCTCTACTTACCCAAGAACAAAAAGTAATATATACAAGGAAATAAAAAATGTCCACCATACTCCAAAGGTCGTTACAAACAAGCCAAGGACCAGAATTCCCCAGCATGCCTTATAAAACTGCATGAAATATAACAAAAAATATATATTACACATCATCATAGTGTTCTTCTTCTCCTGGCCTGTAGAGATCTATACTGCAACAGTAGCTTATTGCTGTATCAAAAGTTTAGACTAGACTTTTCAAACACATTCGTCTACAGGAACAAAACCAAATTAAGTCAAGTACAGTAAAGGGGCAAGAATTACATGTACCACAATAATATTATTATACAACTGTATCTGCCACGTCAGTGAAAAATTTAAGACAACCCAGAAGAAAAATACAGCAAAACACGTGCAATTTTCCTGTATGATGTCCTAGTTTTCATTGAATGTACAAGTACTGTATGCCAACTTCGACTATTGAACCTAATCAAACTCAATCAAAGTTTGATTGGGTTCGATTACTAAAATTTTTTTTTGTAAAGAGTTCGATTGTGTTTGATAACCGAACTTAATCATTCAATTTAGTTCGATTAAGTTTGATTAATAAAACGTTCGATTGGTTATGTCAGTATTAAAACAAAGAAGTAGTGACATCACAGGACAGCATTACGACCAGTCGATTCAGACTTTACTGAGGGAGTAAGTGACTCGAAGTAATGTCTGAAATTCAGATTAAAGCACGCCTTGTTCCCAGAGGTTCTTTTTACCTGTTATACTCATGTTACGGCCCTTCATCCGATCACTTACTTATCGCCAAAAAGGAAAATCATTCACGTTTCATGTAAATTCAAATGCGCATGCACGGTTGCTCGCAATACCTTAGGGCTTTATACATGATGCACTACCCTTCGGTATTCAGATTCGTAAAGCATCCAGTAAAAATAAACCCACTTCTTTGATTAATGGCGATTGCTGGTGACGCAAAACTTTGCTGTACTTGATTGTGCTCCCAGTAAGACAGTACTATGGTTTATAGGTTGATCGCAGATCTTGCGCGCTGTCTGTAACACCTACCTGGTTATTTTCCATCTTAAGTTACTCTTGCGGGGCAACAATTCTACTCTGGGAAAGACGTCAGCAAGAGCTATGTTACCATCTTCTTTGGAACTGTTTATACGAGACTTTTCCGCCACTGATCGCTTCTGTTTTTATACTTTCCGTTCCTCTTTCCCCCTTCGCTCCAATGACACACTTTGTCGCCCGCAATGTAATTGTCCAGCGTACCAAGAAACATCCAAGTAGTTACTTCATATATGATTCCTATAGTGTACCGATATATAGATTCTTATAGTGTAGTCTTTCTTCTTTATAGAGCAGTCTTTCTTCTAGTGTACCGAGGTACTTGGCTTACTTAGGAAATTGAGTAATTTTAAATTCCGGTGATGGAAAAAAAAAATATACCAGAATATTTTACTAAGTCATATCCAGCCGCGCGGATCTCGGGATAAATACTGACCGTTTCCTAAACGGGCGTCGAAGGCGTATTAAGTTTCTAGGGGGTCCGGGGGCATGCACCCCCGTGAAATTTTTTTCTGATTTTTGCTCCCTTAAGTCACCTTTCCTAGGTTTCGGAGTCATTCAGTTAGGATATTGGCCATATTTTAACTTGAAAATTATATGACAGCCCGACATAATGACAAAATACTCAAAGATAACTAGTCGTATAAACATAACAACTTTCTTTAATTTTCAAGACATGTTTCGACGGTACATTAGGCTGCGTAGCAAGAGTTTCCAATCGAGTTATTGCGCGAAAGGTAGAGCGGAAGCAAAAAAATCCCCTCCCCCTCCCCCGTCAATCATTTTTTTTTTTTTTGCTCTTGTCCCAGTTTTCTAGACGAACCTCGCGAGGAAACGCTTGCTACGCAGGCTAACGGTACATCCGTCATCTTCAGTGTTACAAATTTTGAAATCGCCGTTGAATTTAAAGCGCGCGCGATCTTACAAAGTTCGTTAAATTGCGTTGTCAATATTGCGCACTAAAAGAAAAAAATTAAATGAGTGACGCTTAGTTCTTTACAGGGAGAGAGTCAGGTTAATGTGTTTCACCTGATGGTTGAGATCGGGCTTCTCCCATTTTATAAACATCCGATCTCAACCAGCAGGTGAAACACATTAACCTGACTCTCTCCCTGTAAAGAACTAAGCGTCACTCATTTAATTTTTTTTGTTTTAGTACGCAATATTGACAACGCAATGTAACGAACTTTGTAAGATCGCGCGCGCTTTAAATTCAACGGCGATTTCAAAATATGTAACACTGAAGATGACGGATGTACCGTCGAAACATGTCTGGAAAATTAAAGAAAGTTGTTATGTTTATACGACTATCTATATTGTTGCTGCTATCTAGACCTTTTGGATCAAAGATAACTCAAATCAGCTTCATTGCACTCTAAGACTGTTTAAAATATGAATTGTCATCCTCGGAGACCCAGGGGCAGTTAGTCGGGTCGATAAAGGGCGCTTTCCATTTAGGAAAAACACCCGGAAATTTCGGTGGGAGCAAAAGTGGAATTTCCGATTGGTAAAAAGTTGTTCCATTTGGTCGTAAACCCCGGTACGTCGCGGTGCCCGACGGTGGACCTGGAACTGGTACAAACTACGAGAAACGTAAACGGAACACGACATTCCGTTCGGAAATTCCAACCGGGAAAACGGGCCCACCTTTTTAGATTTTCCACTTTTTCTGGGAATTTTCCAGTGGGATGAACCGACGAAACGTGTTCCATTTACCGCCGAACCGGAAATTCCGGAAATTTTGACTAAATGGAAAGCGCCCTAAAATGTTCGTGGTGAAAGTTTTCTGTAAGATCGAGACGAGCTATTATCCAGGCTGTGTATAAAAGTGGGACGGGGACAAGGGGACGGGGACATGGGGACACGTGTGTGGGGACTTGGGACTTGGAGACGCGAGACGAGGGCTTGAGGACATCAAGTGTGGAACGCGGGGACGTGTGGGACGGGGACCGGGGACGTCAAAAACTGGGATGCAGGGGACTCGGGATGTGAATGATTATCGCAAAAGTCGGAGGTAAATGCGATATCTCTTTCTTCGCGAAAGTGTGCTATTTATGGTCAACATTAGATTCCATCTTCCAAAACCACATTGGACACCTTCTGATGTGTACACAAAATACTTCTTTTTATTAATAGGAGTAAGCGCACTGACTATCGTGATTAGGGCTAGGGAACAGGAGGGCATTTTGCATGCGCATGCGTGAATCCGCTGAACGACAATAGCGTGGGCGCATCAAATCTGATGGCGGGAAATCGAAAACTCGCACGTAAAGTTACAGTCCTTTTAAAAGCCATTTCGTTGGTGCTTTGAATACCGTACTTTCCTACAAAAAATATTCTCCATGACAAAAACCGGACGTTTTCTACGCGGGTTTTCACTAGTAGATTTTTCAGCAGTAGGTTTTCTTGGCCTTTTAAGGACTTTCAAGACTCAACGCCAAAAAGTCATTTTCCTGTATAAGTCTGATTTTCATAGGCAAAGCAATGCATTTCTATGGTTTGATTTCCAAACTCGTGGTTTTACTTATCAGGGAGGAAATGCATCGTAGCAATGTTCAGCTGCTTTAAGACAAAAAGCGAAAAAAAAATTTACCACGCGAGGTTTATTTATTAGCGCGATGTCTCATGTTAAAGGGCAACTCTCGGGAAAATTACCCCTGTTTTTTAAGTTCTCTATGGTTTCCTAATGGCATGTAATGTCTCTCTTCGGTGAAATTTCGGATATATCTGGGAAACTTATTTTTTAATAATTTTTCGAAAACTCGATTTTTGCCGCCATTTTGAAAACATTCGGATTTCAGGTTAGTCACGTGATTTTACGTCACACGTGTGGAACACGGATTGCCAAGTGAAGATTACAAGAGAAAAACGCACCAAATTTCTCTTGCAAATAAAGGAGAAATAGAGCCTCTACTATCATAATAACGTTCAGGAAAAGCATTTCGATGATGGTTCCAATGTTTAAATTTACACGGGCATGAGATGCAGGTGATTTAGATTTTTTTCTGTATTTTTTTTGTTAGTGTATTTTTGAAGTCGCGTGAGACATTTATCGACCCGAGGTCAATAATTGAAAGCAGCTAAGCTCCTAATCTGCTACGTATAATACAAAGAACATCTTTCCTATAGCAGATTCAAACTTCTGATACAACCATTAATGTTACATGATGGGTGTTGATGCCCTTCATTCCTCGAAAACGACTTAATTTTTTCCCGGGAAATACTCGCATCTTTGAAGAGAACTCCGTCACAGACCGCCGTACCGGCCTGATTCTATACCGCCTTTTGTGTTCTCACTTAAGTGTGTTGTTCTCTTGTCTGAAATCTGCAGGTTCCATCCATTTACTTTTGCTTCTAAACACGCGAAATAAAACTCACTTCTCGCCGAAAATTGCGATTTTATGATCATCATTTTGAATGCAGTTATTCGAGATGTGCTCTCGAGATTGTAGCGTCATTCCATTGCAAAACCTGCACACACGCTAAAATTACATGTAATGGGCCTTTTAAGGATGGAAAGAAATGAAAGCAGTTCAAAAAAGTTGATTAAAATAGGATTGCTTCATTATCTTTAGTGGTACTTTGTACCCGTCCTACCCGCGAACACTATAAAGCTGCCTTGATAGCCACGCGTGTCACGCTTCTTTTGCAATACTTTCCTTTGGGACTTCTCAGAAGAAAAAAAAAGAAATTATTAACCCGTTTTTAAATCCCCGACGCAGTACTTTTGGAAAATTCAAGGAGAAAAATGCGATCCATAACCGTAGCGAAAAAGGAGAAAAGAACTAGGCAAGCTTCCTGCAGTATGAACCTTTTTATTGAAGGTTATGGCTCAAGCACCAGAACTGAAGGTCTTTGCTGGCTATTAAGAAAATTCAAGGGCTTTAAAAACTACATGTTGAACCTGCAACTGAATACCCCTACACTACTTGCTGCATCCAAAGAGAGGCCCAACAGAGATGAGGCAATGGTTTCTTTCAGGGCGGATCCAGGATTTTTTTTTAGGAGGGTGCACTCGTCTCTCGCTCTACTTCAACACCAATAAACCACATAGTATTTTTTTTTTTGGCAGAATACCAGTTGTATTAGAAAACCACAGGTCAGCTCAGGAGGGGGTGTGCACCCCTGCACCCTCCCCTAGATGCGCCCCTGTCTTTTCGTTAGCAGATAAAATCTTTTCAGCCTTGTCAACTAAAGAAGGACTACAATGCCCTGCAATGTCTTGATTCTTTGTAGTCTAGGCTAAGCTAGGTCACTACTGCAATTAGTGACTTACATGACCATGCACTGTATGGTCCACTTAAACTGTGACCGGTTTTCTTTAATATTATTGCCTTATCAATTAAAATATGCAAGATGGAAACAATCCATTTGTGAATTCTAATTTAAAAACGAGGATTTCCCATTATAACCTAAAGATATACAGCAATGAACAATAAAATACCATTTTATTATTAAGATATAAAGTTTCAACTTGTACATTATTTCCCAGTTAACAATCACACCTGCTGGAAAAAAAGGGTGACATGTTATTAGTCAAACACTATTCCGCCATTATTATTCAGAAGCTGTGAGCAAGTAGTCGAGAAGAATTATGTATTTCCCACATACTGACACCATTGGACTTTAAAAGACCATGTAGTCTTATAGATTTTTTAGTTGTAACAGTTATTTTTGACATTGTTTGCTGGGTAGCAATCATTTTAATGGCAACAAAGTTGCTCTAGCCCAGTCTTCCAGTGGTGAGTGAGAAAATTGCATCATATTTTATATACAGTAGGGTTATTTGCAATACATGGTATATTTATTCATCTAGGCCCAGTTGTTCGAAGGCCGGTTAGCGCTTAACCCGGAGTTAAATTTAACCCTGGTTTCTTTTTCTTGTGTTCAAAAGCATTTTCTCGGATAATTTTCTCTCTTATTTTTAGAGCTTCCAATCATCAACTTGTGGACAAAAAGAATTAAAACTGAATTGCTTTTTAAGCTTTCAAATCTTAATTCAAAAATCTAGACTAACCCTGGGTTATCTTAACCCAGCTTTGAGCAACTCGGCCCTGCACAATGGAATCCTGTGAACTCCATCTCATCCTCCAACCTTTCAGGCTCCTGGAAATGAGGTCGTATGCACTTAACTGCACAGGAATCAAGGACGCTAATGTAACTCCTATGTCCCTGCCAAGGGAGCCCCAG